AACTCCCGCATCTCAGGAGGAGCCAGCTGATACAGTGCCTTGGCTATCGGAGCCGCACCGGGGACTAGGTCGATCTTGAATTCCACGGGCCTCTCCGGAGGTATCCCAGGCAACTCCTTGGGGAATACGTCCGTAAACTCACGCACCACGGGTACATCACCCACCGTCGCCTTACCCACCTCCCGGGTGTCCATAACATAGGTGACATATCCTGGATAAACCTGCTGAAGGTACTGCCTAGCTCTCACTGCTGAACATACCACTGGTCCTAGTTGTTTCCTCTCGCCCTGAACTACCAACTCTCCCCCACTTGGGGTTCTGATCTGAACCAGCTGATGCGTGCAATCTATCACTGCCGAATTAGGGCTCAACCAATCCATACCTATAATCACCTTGTTCCCCCTCAACGGAATAGGAACCAGGTCTACCAGGTAACGCTCCTCGAACAACCTCAAAAAATAGTCCCGATAGACCTCCGATGCTCGTACCAACCCATCGTCTACAATCTCGACCTCTAGTGGGCAATTCAACATGCCTGAAGACTCCAGAAACTTCTTGCTAAACGCAAGAGAGACAAATGATCGGGTGATACTCGAATCAAACAACACCTGAACCGGGATTCCGTTCACATGGAACGGTCCTAAACAAGGCACATGATATATCAAAATCACAGCGACATACTATAAAAGCATAAGGATAAGAAATCATACCCGTCACCACATTGGGTCCAGCGCGTGCCTCCTTGGCTTTCAGCTGAAATGCTCGGCTCCGAACCACTGGAGCCTCCATCTTGACCTTCCGGCCATCCACAACCCGTCCTGTCGCTGGAGTCGGCGCCACCGCCGACGCCGTTACTGCTGCCAATTTTGGGCAATCGACCTTTTTATGGCCCTTCTGATTGCAATGAAAGAAAATCAGGTCTGATATCTGTATTGCCAGAGTAGGGCCAGTGCAATCCCTGCCAAAATGCCCAACCTTGCCGCACTTATAGCAGCCTGAACCCGGCCCAGTGCGGCAAGCTCCCTCTTGTGACCGACCGCATTTTCCACAGCAGTCCCGCCCTGACTGGCCCTTCGGCCTACCATCGGATCCCTTGGGCTTCTTCCCCGAAGCCCCCGCCGTCTGCCCCTCCTCTGCCTTCCTCTTCTAGATGTGCTCTAGATCAATCTCCCTCTCCCTAGCCCTGGAAATCATGGAATCCAGGGTAGGGTAAGCTGAAAAACTGACATGCTTCCGGATATCATCTCGTAGCATGTCATGGTAGCGGATCCTCCTTATGTCCTTATCACCCGCATACTGGGGCACCAACAAAGCCCTCTCCCAGAACTTGGCGGTGATCTCCGCCACAGTCTCCGTAGTCTGTCTCATATCCAAGAATTCCCTGGTGAGCTAATGAAGCTCTACAGCTGATGCAAACTCTGCTCTGAACCGGGTCACAAAATCTGGCCATGTTATAGCCTCAACAGCCAAGGCTCACAGACAGTCACCAACCGACTCCCACCAGTCCCTAGCCTGGTCCCTCAAACACCCTACTGCGAATCGTACCTTCGACCCTCGGGCAGAAGCTGGTCAGCTGTGCAGACTTAATGTCCGCAATCTGTCGTTTGGCTGCAATGGGGTCCTTCACCCCATGAAAATCTGGCGCACCACTCCCTCTGAAGTCCTTAAAGGACAATGTGCATGGTCCTGACTGGCTGGTCACCATGTCACTCTGGAATGCTGTAACAGCCCGTCCTTTCAAGTAAGTAAAAATCGAGTCCTGTAACCTCTTTGAGAAAGGAATTAGAATATCATCGAAAAATGAATTATTCAAAAACTCTATTTGGAGTTCGCTATGTGGTAGGCATCATCTTAAGGTTTCCAAACATATAAATAACACAAAAATCCGAGTTATAACGAAGAAGTTATGACCATTCTAAGTTTTCCGACAAAAACCGGCAATACGAAGTTACGTGAAAACGCAATGTTTCAATAAAACACTTTCTGACCTTAGGTGTCTAAATGAAAGTCATAGATATCGTTAAACTACAAACGTGCATAAAAAGAACGCTCAAATCGGACATCGTATGAAAAAGTTATGAATTTTTAAAGAAATTCCTTAATCACATCATTTTAATAAATAAATAATAAAAATAATTTGAAATTTGCTGACGGAATCTAAACGAAAGTTATAGATCGTAGTCTCACCTTCGCGGGGATATAAAGAACGTCGAAAACGGAGTTCGTATGAAGGAGATATGAATTTTTGAAGTTTGATAAATAATTTAAATATAATTTTTTTAAAAAATTTGGTATTATCCGAAGGAGTCAGCACCTAGGGCCAAAAAACACGCCGCGTACCCTCGTACGCCCCGCGTACTCGAGGCCACGACCTCGGATCGTCCATGTCGCCCCTATGCGAGTCTACCCCCCCCCCCTCCCCGTCCCGTCCGAAGCACGTTGCAGCCGAGGATGCGGTCAGCAATGACGTCCCGTACGCGCCGCGTACGGGAGTACGCCCCGCGTACATGCGCCTTCCAGCCCCCTATAAAAGGGATGCGAGGGTTCCCGGAAAAATGGCTCATTCACTCTCCTTTTTCTTGCGTTTTGCCTCGTTTTCCGTGCTCGCACTACCCCGAAGCCCTGGTCATTTGTGCAAGTCCCAAAGGTCGATTTTACTCCCGAGAAATCCCGAGAATCCCAAGGAAAATCCATTTTCCGAGACGAAACTCTGCCCGGTTTTCCATCTAGCTATCTTCAAACTTTCATGTGAGTTCATACCCCTTTCAAACACACTTTAAATACATTTTAATTGCTTTTATACTCTTTTAGGGGGGGAATACAAGTAAACATACGGTTATTATCGTGTATTTTATAAAGATTCATTTTGCTTGTTTTACCGATTAAATCACTCGGAACTCATTAGTATTATGGAAAACTCTTGTCATACTTTGTGTGCATTAGACTTATGCAAAGTATATAATGATTTCAAAGTACCTTTCATTGTTAAGTCGTTTTATACATTCTAAAAACTTATGATTTATGCTTTGTCAAACATTGTGAAAAAGGATAAACTTTGCATACAAAAACTATCACTTTAATACAGCCTTAGTTGAGAATCCATGAGACGTGTATATCTTCAAACGTTACTTTTATTTATTAGAAAGTAATGCTGCAAGTCCTGTCTATAACCAGAGTCTCCCGTTCGGAGAACGTGTCAAATGTGTATAGATCTATACGGGAAGTCATGATCCCGCGCCCTAACTGTTAGCTACAGTCCGTCCTTTGGGGTGACAGTTGTCATAACGATGCGACGCCTGAAGAACGTCGTTACAGGCATATTATGTTTAGTATGGTTATAAAACTCATCGGATATCCAATTATTATGGTATTATGCTTTTATGAACGAGTGGCTATTAAAACTGTTCTTCATCTAACAAACGCGATCTTTGTATAGCTTTATTAAATTAAACTATGACACAACTTTTAAGAACGTCGTTTTCTTGCGATTTTCGGTCTTAGAGACTGCCAATCATGTTAGGAAAATAAGGGTTTTTCCTGTATACAAACCAAACAACTAATAGGAAGATAAGGGATTTTCCTGGTGCAGTATTTACAACTTATGACACGAACATTCATATGCATTTCATAGTTTTATAAGAAAATAAGGGTTTTTCTTGGAAGACACAACAAATCATATCTCAACCATTAAGGAAAATATGGGATTTTCTGGATCTAATACATTCATTTTCAATACAACAAGTCATAACTCTTCACACTTGAAATACTGAGTTTTCTAGAAAACATATACCCATTTTGGAATGGCATCCAATTTTTCTAAACTACTTATGAACTCACCAACTTAATTGTTGACACTTTTTCTTTGAATTAACTTGTATTCTCAGGGAACCGCTAAGCAGGTTTGGGAATCAACTTTTGGGATTAACGCGTTGGCGTTAATTATTTCTTTTGAATGATGTTTATGTATTTATCTTTTGAACATGTAATGAATACAATTATGTAAACATCTTGGAAACTTTAATATATATGGTGGTGTGTACTTTCCTTTCTATGAACTGTTATGATACTGAATATGACGTCCTCTGCCCCCGAACGTTTCCGCCGTTCTGGTTTGGGGGTGTGACAAATTGGTATCAGAGCTTTGCTTATAGGGAATTAAGTACATCAAAACCATTTCTTTTTGGTATACAACTATAAACTCAACTGGGCAAAAACACTATGAGAAAAGTCATACTTTTGAAATTAAATTTATTTAGTTTTAAGGTAAGCATGCACTCATTTTATACTAATAACAGTTTCATAGTAAATAACTTTAGAAGTATTATAAATAAGTTGTGCAGTACAGGTACGCCTTGGGACATGTAATCGGAACTGGGAAGAATATAGCCTGATCAACTATATTTGTCCAAGAGCCGACTAACGTATGACAAGGAGTGTCTGCAGTGGAAAACTATTTTAAAACTTACCAAAAGCACATCATTACATAATACTAAGGGAGTTGTTGTGTTGCCGTCAACCATTAAACTTAAGGGTAAGGTTCATGTTCTCTAGCTTACACTACAAGAAAAAGGCCCTTTTACGACGTGCAAACCACGACACTCGTTGTTTTATGTTACGCAAAAGAGAGTGACATTAAAAATGTGTCATCTCTTTAAAAAAATTTAGGATTTAGATCACGCATTATTGCGTGCCGTTAAATTAATGTCTCATGTAAAAAAATTAAAAACACGGAGGGCACTTTATAAAAAATGTGCGCCCTCTATGAATGTCGCTTTATATTTTTTTTTAAGGAACGCGCGTCTCTCTTCTCTTCTAAGAGGGAAAATGAAATCCCAAAAAATTTTGAACCCCGCTTTTTCTCCTACATTCGTATTGATCTGTTCTCTAACATCTATCTTATCTCCTTTGTCTCCGCCCCTCACCCACCTCCACTACCTCCAACCCACATCGACTCTTTAAGTCTGCACAACGTAAGCTAGGGCTTTTTTTGATCGGAGGTTATGGTGAGGAGGAATTTGGGGAAAACAACGAGGATGAGGAGGAGGAAAAAGGTTAATTATCTGATTTCATTCCTGTTGGTGTTGATTTTCTCATTGATGTTCGACGTCTTCTCTGGTGGTGATGGTCGTCGGACACGTTACAGTTTTGTTGAAGGCGTCGTTGGAAAAAGCGATGGAGGTTCTGGTGCGATTTTCTAGATTACCGGTGGCGGTATTGGTGCTAGTGGTGGCTCTGGCTCCCAATCTATTAGTCATCGTGGATTCATTTGTGATCAGTTCTATTAGTCGTTGCTTCCTCATCATCATCCTCACCAATTTCTAGGTCAGTTCCCTCATTCCTCTTTCATCCCCTTTCCAGATCTCGATCTCCAACTACTATCTTTTACTCCAAAAAAATGCACTGATCTCTTATTTCTCTACTTACTTAGCCAATCTGTTCTAGGTTTTTTACTTCTGTATTCAAGACACCTACCTTTCACCCGATATTGTATTCCTCTTTTTTTTTCCCTTCAAGTTTCCAAGGGAAGAACCCCGATTTTACAAGCCCAAGGTGTGATTACACTAAGGTATGAAAAGGATGCTTCTACCCTGCCTTATTTCTTCAGTCGTTCAACAAATAATAGGGCATGCAATTTCTCATTCATATCTCGACTTCATCTTCTCTATCAAGAAAAAGGCTTATGATTTTTCCCTTACATCTTATAGCTATTGGCTTAGAACTAGCTGCTATTTGGGAAGCTATCTATCAAGCACACGTTTGAGTTTGTATTCACACCATTTGATGATGCTAGTAACCCTATCATAGCTCAGGTAAAGATGTTTAAATTAAATCCAGTTATCTTAATTCTTAACATTAAAGAATCAGATAATCATAATCATACTAAAAACCCCTTTAATTTAGTGTTTACAATTTTAATTTGACTTTTTGGATTTAAATTTTTTTAGGCAGCTTTCAACGTAGTATATATTTTAGCACTATAACTTTTTATATATATGTTATTTTTTTCAGGTGTAGACATTGTAAAAAGCTTCCACCTGAATGGAAGAAGGCTGCAAAGAATTTACAAGGAAAGGTGAAGCTTGGATATGTGAACTATGATGACGAAAAGGTATTCTTGAATTTCTATTCTTTTTATCTAAAACAATATTATTATTTTTTATTATTACCAACTGATTATGTTTTTTTTTTTCTTTCAGTCTTTAATGAGCAGGTTTAAGGTACAAGGGTTCCCAACTATATTAGTATTTGGTGCAGATAAAGAGAGTCCAGTCATTTGCCCTTGTTGAACTAGAAACAAATGTTGCTCCTCTTGAAGTGATCGAGTTGACTAGCTCATTGAGTTTTCCGCATCCCTTTTATAATTTTTCAGGATTTCCCTTTTTGCCCCTGGTAAAATCATGAATTTTCCATTTTAGGATGTGATGGAAGAGAAATGTGGTTCAGCTACCATCTGTTTTGTTTCCTTCCTCCCTGATATTTTGGACTCTAAGGCTGAGGGAAGGAATAAGTATATAGAGATTCTTCTATCAGTTGCTGAAAAGTTCAAAAGGAGTCCTTACAGGTATAAAAATTTGATTATAGCATTTTACTTATATAAAAATACGAGTAAATTACAAATTTGGTCCCTATGTGGCTATGCTTCACTCAAAATCTCAATTGTTCCTAGATACAGGAAACACTTCAGGCTTCTCCCCTTTGGAGTTCAACCAAAATTAACATATGATGAGATGAAAATTCTTAGAAGACTTGGAAGGCCTTTACCATGTCATTTTTCTTTAGGTTAGTCACTCTCACTCCAAATTCTAGTTCTATATGTTAGCGAACCTGATACATATGCCCTAAATCTACGTTCAATCGATGAATTTCCTTCTCAAATCTTGGTTTCCTCCTTTCATTTGGCTGTTTCTTATCATCCTCTTATTTAAACACACATTTTTATAACTTCCCCCATTGTTCGTTTGATAGAGCTTAATCAGAGGCATTAAACAGGTATGCCTTAATGTCTTCTGGCTTCTTCTGACGATTTTCTCTTTTTCTGTAGTTAAATTGCTGGATATGCTTCACTTTTTATCATGAACTAAGTTCAATTTAATTTGAAGAATGTAAGGACCTGATGATTGCTTTCTTCTGAAATGTGATTGAGTAGACTGAATGTGTTGCCCCCAAACAATTTACTTAACATTACTTTTAATTACATATTCACTGTTTTTGCTGTTTGTTCCTCATATAAGATAACAACTTATCTACTACTACAGATGATTGTATTATTCGTCCAACTAAATGGGCTTTCATCACCAGGGGCTGGTTATGAAAAGTTTCTTCTCCAAATAGTTATTCTTATTCAATATGTTCCCAGATTATACCGATTCCTGCCTCTTCTTGCTGGACAATCTTCAAGTGGATTTATATCTGATGTCGGGGGCAAGGAAGGAATTTTAGCAGTGGAACTTATTCCATTTGATGGAGGAGATGCCTGAGGAGGGGCATTTTCAGGGGCATTTTCGGAAATATGAAGTTTTTCCCATATATCAGAACTGTTAGTCTTCCAAAAATTCATAGAGGTACTTCCCTCATTTTACCTGTGTATGTGTTGCTATGCCCCTCATTTGAGCCCGACTACTTTGTAGGTTGGCTATTTGTTGTCTAAGCCTGATCAATTGGCGTGCTAAAATCTTTGTTGTTGCGTGATCAAACCACATGTTACTACTTATGAATAGTTAGACGTAATAAAAAAGCTTAGAAATCCTAATTTAAGTAGATCTTTATTGCACACCAATTGTTTGATGATATGCGTTAGTGACAATGTTTCTTCTTATATGATAGTTGTCTGAGATTGTATCATATTCATATGTAGCATTAAGTTTCTTTTATTGTTTGACTTGTTTCAGATTACGAAGTTCCCATTTCCTACTCCCCCAGAAGCTAAATCATTGGTTGAAGCAGAGGTTTGTTTAAAGTCTCTTGAAGCTAAATCATTTTGTACACTGTAATGCAGATTTTGACAATGTTAAAGTCCTCACTAAGCTTTTTTTTATCTTTCAGGTGAGGCAGTCTCTAAGTTCTGTGCCAAGTATCTTCACCAGATGTGTGGAGAGCATAAAGATTCTGGAATCCTTAGGCATGGCTTTCTTGCATCATCTTCAGAAGAGGCAGATTCTATTCAGAATGCATCATTGAAGCAAAATGGGAAATCAGAAGGTCTAAAGAGAAAACAACTTTGGCCCCACATAAGTTTTTAAAGATTGATTTTTTCATTTAAATTGTTTTCATTTCCTTGATCTTTTTTTTTCAATCAATGTTAGCTTCTTGCTCAAAAACTTTGGCCCCACATAAATCGACAGCAGTGGGGTTTGATGACAAGATGTTGCTTCATTCTGAAGTAAGAATTCTTCCCGATATTTCAATTTTCATTTTTTAAAAAAAAAATATTTTTAATAGTCTTGATGGTTTTATAAATAAAAAACTTTGATGTCATCATTTTTTGATCTTTATAATTTGTAGGTTGAAAGGAAGTCTCTTCCTCATCCAGAAAGACCAGATCGTCTTCGAGCAATTGCTGCCAGCCTGGCAACTGCAGGTGTGTGACTAGGATTCCTTGTTTTTTTTTTTTTTAATTTTTTTTTTGATTCTCTAAATTGTCATTTCTGTAAATTTTAGGTATATTTCCTGGAAGATGCCAACCGATTTCAGCAAGAGAAATTACACGTGAAGAACTTCAGATGGTAAACATTTCATTCATTAGTTTAAAGTCAACTTGCAATCTTGACTTTCCAACAGTTATTTCACCCCTGATACATATGCAAAGCCAGGCTGGCAGCAGGGTTATGTGCTGACCTGGCATCAGCTATATACTCGGGGTGTGCTAAAAACGGGTTTGCACTGGTAAAAAGAAGTTTCTACCTATAATTCTTCACCTCTCTATTTGTTCCATTAATCTTTATGTTTGATGGATCATGGGTCGTGGGTCATGGGTCATGGGTCATGGGTCAGGTGCGTCCTCCAGGTCATCATGTTGGAGTGAGACAAGCAATGGGATTCTGTCTGCATAACAATGCAGCCATTGTTGCATCAGCAGCACAAGCTGCAGGAGCAAAAAAAGTCTTGATTGTTGATTGGTAATTAATCTTTGTAATTAAAAAAAAAAAAAAAAACTATGAGTTGTAGTTATCTAACCTTATTTATTTACAGGATGTACACCATGGAAATGGAACTCAAGAAATATTTGAGCAGAACAAAACAGTAATTTTATTTTTATTTTTTTTATTCGTGCAATAATTGATACTACTTTCTTCAACTTGTTAATGATATTATTATTATATGGTTAACTCCATATTCTGTATTTTTTTTGGTTTAACCACAGAAATAATTTTTTTCTTGGTTAACCACAAAGAGTTTGTGATATTTAAAAAAAACATAAACACTATAAGTGTTTCCTGGTAATAAATTGCAGGAGGCCATGTAAAATTAACTATCATTCATTCTCCTATAAAAAAAATGAAACTCAACATAAATATAAAACAATATAGTTGATTAATTTATTTTAAATCATAAATAACATTGTAGATTACTATCTGACTATTTCTGATGATACTGGTTTTAATTGTTATAGGTGTTGTATATATCCTTACATAGACATGAAGGTGGAAAATTCTACCCTGGTACAGGCGCTGCCCATGAGGTAAACATAACCCTAATTTTTTTTTCTCTCTCATTTTTTACATCGAGAAGGGTAAAATGGTCATTTCACTCTTATATATGTTATCAGGTGGGGTCCATGGGTGGAGAAGGGTATTGTGTAAATGTTCCATGGAGTCGTGGAGGAGTTGGGACCATAGTCACAGGATTCGCCAAAGTAGTCACGATCCACGTTCCAAACGGCTCGATCCCAAACGGGGTACGATTGCGTATCGATCGCCAACAGAAACGCCCTCCGGTACGTCATGCTTGCGATCCGACCAATTCTTTAAATCGATACCTGAAACGTGAAATTGGCAAATTGAAGCAAATGCAGGGTTTCTTGTAAGATGAGGGTGAATGCATCAGGTATGCCACCTTTGTTTTCCCTTTGTCATGTTTGAATTGTTTGGAATTAGTTATGTTATGTCAATGTATGCTTTATGTTATGTCAATATATATATATATATATATATATATATATATATATATATATATGTAAATGACATGTATACATACTCCTGAAATTTCCTATATTTGGCTGAAAACATGCAGACAAACAAATTTGACATATTAGTGCCTTGCAGCCTCTCAAAGTTCTTGCATTCAGGTTATTCTTTTAGAAAGAAAATTGTCAAAGGTGATTGTCAAAGGAGAATTTATTCAAGGTTTTCTTTTCATGTTGTACATGTTTTGTTTTCAATAATAAATATTATGCAATATTAGCAATGTGTTACATTTACTTACTATTGGAATGATTATTTGTATATGACATTAAATTTTATGAAATGGATTATATTTTTTGTATATGATATTTTATTTTCTATTATGAGGCATTAAATTCAAATTTAATTTGAAAATTAGTAAATCTATTAAAAATATTTTTTTTAAACATTTAAAATTATGATACGCAAAAATGTGTGTCATCTTCATTTATGACATGGCCTTTCTTGACAGGGGCTTTCTTGATACGCATTGCGTGTCATTAACACGCGCGTCGTAAGGTTACGACATGCGAATGCGTGTTGTCTTCCTTTATGACAGGGCCTTCCTTGATACGCATTGCATGTCGTAAACGCGCGTCGTAAATGCGCGTAATCTCTCTTTATGACAGGGCCTTCCTTGAAGCGCATTTGCGCGTCGTCTGAGCGTTTTACGACGCGCAATGAGCGTCGTAAAAGGCCTTTTTTCTAGTAGTGTTATAGTAAATTTTTAACCCTATTCTCGTACACTCTAAATGGCGGGATTCCATCACCCCAATGACCCCTACTACCCCAACCAAGGTAATGGAGGATGGATCGAAGAAGATCCTGAAGAAGATGAAGAGCCTAGAGAGTTGGAGGGGAGGGGATGACTCTGGCACGGATTCGGAGCCAGAAATTATCAATCCACCAATCCCACAACCTCCCGTCCACGTTAGCAACTTCCAAGGACCCACTCCTGTGTGGGGAAGTCACCTCCATCATTGGAGCCAACAACAAAGCTTACGCCCTCCCTACGGCATGTGCCGAGACTTCTATGATCTTTGAGGCGGGGGATCAGCCGACCGAGCACTTCCGGTCATGGTTGGCAAACTCGCCAACCAGTGCTATCAATCCGGAGTGCAAGCCAACCGAATCCGAGAGGTCAATGTGGAAGTACAAATCCACACGGCCGATATCAACCGCCTAGAGATGTTGCAGAACGACATCCACATTCGCCGAAGCATTTCAAGCACAAGCAAATGCGGCCTTCGCAGAATTGAGGGAACAACAAGCTGCGTTTGATAGGCGCCTCATGGAGTCGAAGCAGTCCGCACGGAGTCGAGCTCCAAACGCAAAGCGCGCCGCAAGTAGTACTTGCCCGACTCTCAAATTTTGTTATAAATTAGGACTTCGGATAAAAGTATTATTTTCTTTAAATTGTTCTGTAATCGGAGGCCTTTAGAAAGGTCAAGAACTTTTGTCTAGACCCCGCTGTAACACAACTATATGTTTAATATATATAAGGGTATATCCCTTTTCTTGTTGTTAATCATGCGCATTCGTTCAATTCATTGGTACATCTATTCAAACTTTACTTTCAAGCTCAAAACATTGTGTCGGTCAAACCCAATTTCTTAGAACTATTAGAAGTTAACTCAATATCATTCAACTCTGAACTACCAAAACTTATAAATCTTTCATTTTACTTTGGCAGCGCGATGCCTCCTCGTCCAAACCTAAGGCCCAGGCGGGCACGGCACCACCACCACCTCCACCACCAACTTATGATCCAGCCATGGTCCAGGCTGCTATCACAGCAGCAGTAACTGCAGCCCTCTCGCAAATAAACTCCCACGGAAATGGAGGGGCGGGAAGCAGCACGAATCATCCAAATCATGGCACTGGTCATGGCCAAGTAAGAGAATGTACTTACAAGGAGTTCTCTAACGCTAAGCCAAAAACTTTTAATGGAATTGGGGGAGTCATTGCACTAATGCAATGGTTCGAGAAGACCGAAACGGTCTTCGAGATCTGCTCATGCCTAGAAGCAAGCAAAGTCAAGTTCGCTGCTTGCACTTTCATAGATCGAGCCCTCACTTGGTGGAAAAGCCATGTGAATTCGGTGACGCTCACTGTCGCCAACGCCATGAGTTGGGACGATCTGAAGGTTCTACTACTGGAAGAATACTGCCCAAGGGGCGAAGTGCAAAAGCTTGAGCAGGAGCTCTGGAATCTGAAAATGACTGGGTCTGACCTAGTCGCCTACACAGCTAGGTTCAACGACCTCGCTGCACTGTGCCCTACCATGGTCAACCCAGAATCAAAGAAGGTTGAAAGGTACATTTGGGGGTTGTCACCCCAGATTCAAGGGCATGTCCTAGCTTCCAGCCCTGTTACCTACAACAGCGCTAAACGCCTGGCTCAGCGACTCATCGACCACGGAGTAAAACACGATACCATTTCAACAACCGCAAATCCATCTAAGGAGGCTCAGGGCCAGAGTAGGCCTTGGAACAAAAGGAGGGGACAAACCCTCCAGGAAAACCCCAAGAAACAACAAGTAATAGCGACCCACACTATGACTGTACCTGCCAACCCTGCCCCCACAAGCTCATATAATGGGAAACTTCCTAAGTGCAACCGATGCAACTTCCACCACCACGGTCCTTGTCATGATCTTCAATGCACCAAGTGTAATAAGAAAGGACATACAACCCGCTATTGTAAAGAGCCAACCCAACCATCCATCCCCACTGCTAATATCGGGGTAAGCCGCGCTTGCTTTGAGTGCAGAGACACGGGGCACTACCGTAGGGACTACCCAAAGGCAAACAACCGGAATACCGGTAGAAGGGGCCGAGTTTTCGCAATGGGACAAGATGAAGCCATTGCGGACCCTACTATTGTTACGGGTACGTTTCTTCTCGATAACTCGTATGCGTGCATTTTGTTTGATAGTGGAGCGAAAGGAGT